GCAGCTGCAGGCTGAGGCCGAGGGTGCTGTGCGCTCCTGGCACTTGGGGAGACTGCCAGAAGGAGGTGTCTGGGACAGAAGTGTGGGAATCTGAGAGCCGAGCGACCCCGGCCCGCCTGCGCCAGAGGAGCGGCAAGGCTGCGCAGGAGCAGCCGCTGGCCGGCGGGAGGGGAGTGTGCGAATAGAGCCAGCTGCGTCCGGTCATTCCCCACGCGTAGGCCGGTGTCCCCAGCCGAGCGCCCGCCGGGTGGGGCATCTTGACAGCACAGCTCGGCCTTTCTCCAGGGTGCTGAGCACAGCTGGCCCGGGACCAGCTCTCTGCGCTTTATTTTTCATCGTTTTGTGAGACTTCTGGAGGCCAGGGCTGCCTCCTGGCTCTGGGGTAGGTGATCTTGGAGCCGGGTCAGAACTGGGGCGGTGGAGTAAAGACATGCTAATGGGGTGAGCCGGTTTCGCAGCAGAGTGTCCGGTCTGTGCCAGGTGAAGGCCGGGACCAGACAGTAACCCACACCCCGCGGAGCGTCTGCCCGAACTGTGTTTCCCGCTGCTTTGGTGCCAAAAACGGAAGCCTTGCAGAGATGGTATGATTAAGAGCCGTTTTAGAGCCCTCGGTTATAGCCCGCCGTCATTAATGTTTTAATAAAGCTTTAGATAATTATGGCCACGCCAGCAGCCATGCATTTTGCTTTGCAACGGATTAAAATATGCACAAGCACTCACCGATGCCCCACCCCCCCAGCACTTAGCTCTTATCGATCCAAATATGCAGCGCGTTGTGCTGAGCTGGGAGTTTTCGTAGAGTTTGCTGCTCAGAGCGCTTTCGCTCCCCCGGGGTGGGCACAGCGCAGGTAACCCCCCAAGCCCGGCCCCCGGGCAGCGATGCTGCGGGGGTCCTGGGCCATGCGAACAAGGTCGGTGGAGTGGGCGAAACCCTCGCCACGCATATGCGTGGCTACCGTCAGCGCGCCCTGCGATCCTTTCCAAGCTTTCCCTCCGGGTACTCGTTTTAAGAGACGTTGTGTACGTGAGGTCTTGGCGGCAAGTGAGCCAGGTGACTTACGTAAAACAGAAATAGGAACCAGGATAGTCATGTCCCGTCGGCACACCGTTGTGTACTCGAAATTTGCACGGACTTAGCCACACGCTCTGGTCGCGCTTCCCCGCCCTCCAGCTAACTTTAGATTTTCTGAGTTTGCACCTAAAGAAGGAATTTATTATAGGGAATTAGAGGGCAGCAAATTTAAGTGGGGAAAAACAAGCCAACCGACGGGCAAAGCTCGCAAGAGCCATCTCCTCTCCCCTCTGTCCTCTCTTCCCAGGAGCACAGGTGGGCTGGGGCTGGCCGTGGGGCGCCAGGTGGGCGGCACGCTCGCTCACGCGCCTCACCAGGTCTAGTGCCGCCAAACCGATGGACCGCCTGAGGCCATCACGTCGTCTCATCTCTGGTTACCTGGCCCTTTAGGATAACAGTAGTTTAGACCTGAAAGGCACCTGCAAGAGAGTTTGGCTCCAGACACGGCCAGGAAGAGCTCGGCGTCCCAGAGACGCGGCTCCCTGTGGCCGGGCGAGCGAGCTCACTGGGCCACCGGCCGCCGCTGTTTCCTAAGTAACTGAATTTCGAACGTGTCCTTGATGTGAAGGAGCCCGTCTGTTCTGCCTCAGGGTGGAAACGAGACTCGGTGACAGGGAACCGGGCGGGGTCCGAGTCGAGGCGCTCTTGAGTCCTGGGAGCACAGAGCAGATGGCCCCGTCCGAGCGTGCAGGCGGCTGACCCCGCTAAGCCCGGCTCGCCCTCTGCTCCCGGGCGGGGTCTGAATCCTGTCTGCGGAATGCGGTGGTCACCCAGAAAGCAGCGCTGGCACCTGGCCCCGTGCGACGGATGCGGTGGCCAGCAAGCGTGGCTTCTCGCTGCTCAGTTTATTTATTTTAGAGCTGTATTCATTTATGCATACAGAACTGGGGTGCAGGCCAGAAGTGCAGGTGGTGAGGACTCCCCAGACAGGCGGGGGGACTGAAGCCCACTGCTGAGGGCAGCAGCAGGGGGAAACCCTTCGTTTTGTGTGCACTTTGAACCGGAAACATTTAAACGTTAGTGGGAACAGCTGATTTCATGTGAACTTGGGTTTGTAGCTTTTTTTTTTTTTTTTTAAAGCGATATGACTTGGTGATGGGAAACCCGTGGGGATTACAGTTGAGATGGGGGGAAAATGTACAAAACGATGTAAAAATAAACTGTTATAAAATTTAAAAAAATACAAAAAAAGCGATAGGCCGACATTAATTATTTCAGATGGCTGGTGTTCCAGGCAAGGTCGGTGGCCACGTGGCTCTAAGTCTCAAAGAGGGGGAGGCCCACAGTGGCGGGGTCCGTGGCCTGCGTCCCAGCGCTGTGCCTCGCTGTCCACCCCCCATCCGCATGCCACTGATTTGATTTTCTTTGGGATTCTTCCAGAATTTTTTTTTAAAAGGTTTATTTATTTATGCATACAGGAACTGGGGTACATTGGGAGAGGACTCACCAGAGACACTGGGAGCAGAGCAAGCGGATGCACTGAAATGCATTGCTGAGGGGGGCAGCGGGAGACAGGAGGGGACAGGAGGGGACAGGAGGGGACAGGAGGGGCCTGCTGCGCCCTGGGGATTGAACTGGTGCTGCAGTGGCTGCTGGCTGCAGACGGCTTCCCAGTGCTGAGACTTAACCCCTGCAGTGCCAGGAAGGCCCCAGAGTTTCTTTTTTCTTTTAAATATTTATTTATTTATTTATGCAATGGGGTACAGGCCCGAGGTGCAGGGGCAGTGAGAGGATTCACCAGAGTCAGAGTGGGGGGACAGAACAGGCAGATGGACAAAGTGCACCGCTGAGGGGAGCAGCGAGCAAAGGAGTCAGGAGAGGTCTGCCGCGCCCTGGGGGTCACCTCCGGGGCAAGCAGGAATGGAGACTCGCACTGAAGCGGCTGTGGCTGGCTTGCAGTGCTGTGTTCAGCCCACCGCACCACCAGGGAGGGCCTGAGTTTCTTATATAAACACAAGTACAATATTGCTGTTTAGAATGTTATGTGCCTTGTTCTTTAACTTTCAGGAGATCTTTTCATATTATCTCCATGTTTCTTGGTTCCTTTTTTAACAACTGTGTAATATTCCTTTTTATACATATGCCATCACCTTTTAAAAAAAAGATTTATTTATAGATACAAGAACTGGGGTACAGGCCATAGGTATGGGGGTGTGAGAGAGGACTCCCCAGAGCCAGAGTGGGGAGCAGGACAGGCAGACCTACTGAAACACACTGCTGAGGGGAGCAGCGGGGGGACAGGAGAGGTCTGCTGTGCCCTGGGGGTCCGCTCCTTGGCTGCAGTCGTTTCATAGTGCTGCGCTTCAACCCCCACAGCACAGGGAGGTCTGGCCGGCAGCACAGGGAGGTCTGGCC